CTCGACAAATGACAGGGTACTTTCACAGGGTTTAGGGTTGTGGGGTTTAAGGGTTTAAGGCTTTAGGGTTTGAGGGTTTAGGGTTTTAAGGCTTTAGGGTTTTGGGGTTTAAGGGTTTAGGGTTTATTTAGGGTTTAGAGTTTTAAGGTTTTAAGGTTTTTAGGGTTGTGAGGATTTAGGGTTTGGGGTTTTAGGGTTTTAAGGCTTTAGGGTTTAGGGTTTTGCGGTTTAAGATTTAGGGTTTTAGGGTTTAGGGCTTTAGGGTTTAAGGCTTTAGGGTTTTAGGGTTTTAGGGTTTAGGGTTTCTGGGTTTAGGGCTTTGGGTTTGGAGATCAACATAACCGAACATGGTTCAGTACAGTATAGTAACATATAAGCTATAACAAGGACGACGAATATGTAAACCACGAACTTAGTGCTCTGTAAACAATCAATTAAAAATACATAAATCAATAAATAAATAGACAAACAAATAAATAAACGAAATAATATATATATATAGATGTGTAGGTATGTATACATCTATACATATGAGCCACGGTCAAAATTACTGGCTTGGCGAAGGGACATTTGTCTTGGGGTTATCGTTTTTTGTGGGTCCCTATCGTTCTGCAAATCAAAACCCATGTCGGGATGCTCGGGGATGCTCCTGGCTAGATTGTGCTCGCTGGTACGAGTAGCACAATTTTTGTGCTGGAAATGCCTCGTTTCGTCTCCTGGCTGGATTGTGCTTACCCTAATCCCACAACCCCAAATCCTGAACCCCAAACCTCAAAACCCTAAACCGCAAACCGATTCGCATTTGAGCTCTGCTCCAGCCCTCCAGCCCCAGCTCGAACTCGCATTGATCTTGGTCTCGGTCCTTTACTCGTCCTGCTTCTCGCCTATGACGCTTTGATTCATTCGAGTAGTAGCGTTGAGTCCGTGGTCATTTCGGTCATTCCCAGCTGCAGAAACAATGCCGCATAAGTTTGCTGTTGCGCAATGTGGCGAGCTGAGACTGTGCCTGTGCACGTCCCGGACAGCAGCTTAAGGTCTGAGCACCATGCACGAATTCAGTAGCCACTTCTGAGTCACCAGATCAACCATACTTGCCCCGACAACAAAAACGCCTAAGCTTTTCAAGGACCTGTATGGTCCGCGCATGCTTCGCGGCCCTCCGCCCTAGGTGGCAAACGCCAGACCCTGCTAAGCTCAATGCCCATCATGAACTCGTAAAAATGCCTTCGCATGGTGCGTAGACCAGCCTGCGAACACGAAGGATTGGGCAAAGGACGTTCCGGGGCATGCAGGGCTGGTTGAGTCCACTGCGGCTTCGGTTATTTGCTAACCGCTTGTATGCATGCTATTACATAAGATGGTAGCCGTCGGTATGAACTCATCGGAAAATAATTGCAGGCAGCAATAATGTCGTGCTATTGATCTTACTGGTACTTCTGTCACTGCGAGTACAGTTTTAACCAATGAAGACGGTATGGTGAGTACGACCGTGCTTTGTGCTGCGTCGAAAGCTCTCAAAACCAAATTTCCTGCAGACTTTCTGGCAAAAGCCTTGGAGCATATAGAGATGCTCAATCGACCACTGCGCGATGTATCTGGGCACACAAGGCCACCGCATCAGCCGGCCGCAGGAGGGGTACTGTTGATAGGAGGGCCTAGAAACCCAAACGAACATAATTTCAGACTCTGGCACCGAGCTCTCACTTCCGAGATGCATTGAACAAAACGGAGGCCTGCACTCCCAAACTCAAGCCTAACTCCTCTAAGTCCTATAATCCAAGCACTGAATCCGAATCTTCAGCCCTAGACCCTCAACCCAAACTTCTAATGACCTACAGCCGGGTTTAGGAGTTTAGGATTTAGGGTTTAGGATATAGGGTTTAGGATATAGGGTTTGGGTTTATGATTTAGGGTTTAGGATTATAGGGTTTAGGATTTAGGATTTAGGGTTTAGGGTTTGGGGGCCTCGGATCTTCAACCCCAAAAGCCTCAACCCGACGAGCAAGCCCACAGGACCCGACCTTACGCGCATGCTCGTAGAAGAGGTCCATAAGCCTTGAGACTTTTTGTGACTTCCTAATGGGTTTAGGCCTTGTGGGGGGTGTAGGGCTTAGGAAGGTTTAGGAGGCTTTGACGGGGTTTAGGTGTTTAAGAGCTAGGGCTGAGGGCACTCTGAGAGGGTTTCAAGAGGTTTCTAAAGAGGCTTGACTTAAAGCTCAAACCTTGGATGAACTAGCGCCGGTTATTGCAGAAATCCTCCAACTAGTAACCATATGCCAACAGATAACCAACACGACTTTGAAAATCTCTACCAACTGCCAGAATCATGGGCCCTACTGACTGCAGGCGAGAAGCATCGTTTTGCCGGTCCCCACCGGACCTTCCAAGTGCACAATCTAGAACCAGGCTTCTGCGCTTCACTGATTTAGGTGCCTTCTTTTGGGGCTTAGGGTTTCGGGCTTAAGGGGATTTATGGTTTTTGTAGGGTCTTTTTATCATTCTCCAGAAGGGCCTTAATAAAGAGTTGGAATTCGAAGAGGGTTTCGGGGTATGTGTATTGACTCTATATAGGGACGATAACAAAGGTATGCCGCTTCTGAGACTTCCGACCTCTCTAAGTATGAGGCTTAGCCCAGCCTTTAAATGGCGCGAAACCCTATAAACCCTGAACCTCCAAGAAGTATGGTCTGAAACCTACATGCCGAAGTGATTTCAAGACCAGTAGCAGATGCAAGCAGTAGTTCATAAGTAGGGTTAGGGTTCGGGGTTCGGGGTCCCCAGTGCTGGATAACCTTTTCTGCTCCTAAGCCACTGAAGTGTAGTTATATGGTAGGGGTTGTACAAGTTAATGTAGACTCCGATAAATCAGGCCCCTTTGCTTTAAAGCCAGAGTGGGTCTGAATGGGGTGTACCCTAAACCCAAACCCTAAACCCTAAACCCTAAACCCTGATCGAAACTCGGAATCGACGAGCCCTTAGAGCCTGGAGAAGTGAACCTCCGGGGCCCCTGTAAGACCCCTATAGGGTCTAGGTCTTAGGCCTAGAGGGTTTAGGGGTTGAGAAGAGCCTTCCCGTTGTTATGATTATGATTATTTTTCTTATTATTCTTGCTACAAGGTATGAACCTTCTTATACTACCATAACTTCAATTATTCGTATTATAACTTTTCTGATCACTACTCTTATTGTCATTACATGCCACAACCTGAACTTTCTCTGCGAAACCGATCCATAAACCTCCCGCTTTCCGGGGCCGCCGCCATGCATGTAGACCGAGGTCTTCTGCGGCTTCCGCACTTGCGTTGGCGCTGGATGTTCAACCTCGTAAATACTGTACTGTGTTAAATTATGTTATATGTTTATGTGTATATATATATATCTATAAATACATACATATGTGTATATATATACATACATA